GGGGGACGACACGGACAACACAGATTTCTTTTGCCTCAGACACATCAGCCAACACCTTGCTATCAACTTTTTCTTCCAGGCCTGTCACCACACTGCCTGGGCCCCTGGGCCGTGCAAGCTGCAAAGCATGGCTCAGAAACATCTCCCCAGACACAAGTATCACTCGTACAGTATTTCTGCATTGCTGGGTCTTTTAAGGAGGAGGCAGCAATGGTCAGCGCTCTTGCCACTCTCCTCCTGCTCTTCCTTCAGGTTGTGTACCTGTATGTTTGCTTACACCTAAATAAAATCTTCCTTCTGTATATTTTTTCAGAAATACGAAACTAATGTTGGGGCTCAAGGATCCCAGTTGTCTCGTGGGCAAAAACAACGCATCGCTATAGCAAGGGCCATCATACGAGATCCTAAAATTTTATTACTGGATGAAGCTACGTCTGCCTTAGACACAGAAAGTGAAAAGGTAAATGCACAGTGATAAACAATAAAGGAAAGTTAATACAGTGGCTTACAATGTGCAATACCTTTTTTTTCTGTTCTATAGAGACATCCCGATGTACTCCACTACATGACTGCAACACTATTCCACACTGTTAATTCAGCACTTACGCCTTTAATGATCTTTTCGAAAGATCCAGGAAGCACAGCTATAAAAAAAGCAGCCAGCTACAAGGGCTCTTAGACTGCCAACAAGAGGCAGCACTTTTTCAGAAACGTGCATACTAATTCCCTGGGTTTCAAAGCATCCAGTGGGAATGTTTCATAAATATAGCTTCTGCACATTAAAAAAAACAACCAAGCAAAAAGGTATTCAAGCATATGAATGAGTCTGAATATCCAATAAAAACAGCAGTGAGAGGCCTAAGAACTAGGGCAATAGTTTGCACAGCTTGGTTACACTCAGAGATTAGAGAAATGGTGGAAATTTGAAAACATATCCCCACTGAGCTGACATTCAGTGTGTCAGCTGAATAAAGGCCTTCCTTAATTTCTACTGCTGTCTATGTTTGCCTGTCCCTTCTTTGTACCTCTAATAAACTGAGTTTGTGGCCCAGCTAAACACACCAGTAACATATCTTTTGATTTAGCCTCATAGTCACTTTTACAAGTATTGCACAATACATAGAATGAATCTGAAGCAATCAGATGCCTCCAGCTCTGAGCCCCAATTTATTCACATATTTTCACTCTGACACTTTGTCTGTTGCCTTCAGACTGTGCAGGCAGCGCTGGATAAGGCCAGAGAAGGGCGTACCTGCATCGTCATTGCTCACCGCTTGTCCACAATCCAGAATGCCAACATCATCGCCGTGATGTCACAAGGAGTCATCATTGAAAGGGGCACTCATGACGAACTGATGGCCATGGAAGGAGCTTATTACAAGCTTGTTACCACTGGAGCCCCAATTAGCTGAATTACTAAATTTGAAAGCTTTCTTTTCTGTAAGCAAACACTCTGCGGTAAGTATGTGTATGTTGGTACCCCATCGTGCTACAAAGTGCTCTACAATATTGTGAGTTCCGTGGTACCTTAAATGTATGTAGATTTCTGCATCAAGCACGCTTGTTGCGCACATGCAGGGGACTAAGCATAGGCTAGTGCATTCAGGAAGTAGTTTAGGTCACTGCTAAGGGAAAGAAAGCCTGAAAATGAGAAAGATCTTTGCTGGTGAGCTGGGGAATTGCCACCACCTGCAGTTGGACTGCACAATCCCATCATTCCTCAACTAGCAATCAAGGAAGACTCTGCTCTGGTGTTCTGGAAACTGCCACTTCTCTACATAAGCTGCACGAATGAAAAACAATCCCAAGAATGATGCTGTGTATCTGAAGGGATCAAATCTCTCCTAATGTTCGGTCTGCAGAGGATTACAACAGATAGTCTCACTGTGGGTACAGAACCCCCACCCTTCCACCCCTCATACCACACACCTCAGCTGTGCTGCTGGGGGAGGCCGGGCTTCCACTGTGTGCAGCTGCAGCACTAACAACCACTGCTGTGCCCTCAGCCTGGCATAGCCCTGCCCCTGCAACAAAACCATGAAGCACTTACAAAGGAGGCAGCTCCACAAAAGCAAGGAAAGCAACCAGGGAGAGGAATGGGAGCTGGTGGGGATCATTTCCCCTACACTCACCACTCTGATCAAAGCTGTCAAATAGATTTTGAATAGGAATAAATGCTTTAGTTAAATCAATGTAAAATCCCACAGTTAATCATCACAGTTATTTAAATCACTTCTATTGAGGTGGTGATGGCTAATATGTTCTCTTTTTTTTCAGAAGGCAAGACAATGATGAGTATTTTTAACAGAAATCATAAATATGTTCAGTGAAGGTGGGGGAAAAAAAGCTATAATTAGCTCTTTGTTTGTATCAAGCAGAGTTGATAAACAGAGCAACAATTCATTCAGAAATGACAAAGGTTAGGAAGTAGCTCCTTCTGGCAGAAGCTTGTATCTGTAACAGTTTGTTATAAGGTCTGCTGCATGTTTCTCTGAAATATGTTATTGGTTATTGTCTGCAAGACAACAGGACTCTTTCCTTTAGTGACTGGGATCTTGGAGACAAAGCAGATAGACAGAAAGTTTAAATTACAGTTTCAAAATTTAAATCTTGATTTAAAATAGTAGAGTATTAACTGGAAAAGTCATTCTTCATGTCCTGAAATCTGCAGCTAGGGGTGGGTTCACCCATTTTATAACAAATCACACCACAATGGAGTGCAACAGTACCAACTGCTGAAACTTGAATAGACCTTTAAGGGTGAACACTTTATTAGCATACATCCTTTAATTCCAGGCAGCAAAAAACCAATTTCAACTTTCATACAATTCCATTAATAGAATTACTTCAACAGACCCTACTGAAATCACGTAGCTGACACTGAATTGCTATTTTCCCAAGGAAGTCTGTATTTTAATCCTTAACTGGATATGAAAAAGGAAGCTGCGTTATTGGCCTTCTGTTTTAATCTTTTTAGCCTTTTTATGTTTCAGAGCAATAATTAGTTTGGATGGCTCAGAACTGAAACTATTGGCAGAGTGACTATCAATAACCTATTGACATACCTATATGATATTTAATTTATATTAGTATTTAAGGCCATGGAAAAATAATGTCTCTTTATTAAAAACTACAATGACTATGTGTACTTATTCCATAATTCTTTTGCCTAAAGGACACCGCTTTTGTGGCCCAAATTATACCAATAAATTGTATTTTTTACTGGCTCTTGTGCTTTAGCACTTCATCTCTTACCCTTCAGACAAGTGGGTGACTATCTTGCAGTAGGTAACAAGTATTTCTATGTATTTGGAGCTTGTGTGTAACAAGGGTCTGCTGTGCAGGACCGAGCTGTTGAGAAGGCTCAACTACCCTGGGCCCCTTGCCTGCAAAGAAGCCTGCCATCTCCTTGGAGGAGCACAGCGACATGGGTGGTGCTGCTACTGCTCTTCGTCATACCATCATCCCATTTTTAGGTGGTTAGTAAATATTGGGAGCTACGTATTAGGCGGTACGCCTGTATAACAGAAGGCACTCATGGTGTACATGAACAGTTGCATTGGTCTTGCATGTTCTTGGGTGCCATCTGCTCCGACTTTGTACCTGTGTGCTATTGACAACCAGTTGATTACAAAGCCCTTCAGTACCTGTGCAAGCGGAGCTACATGGTACATCTGGGCAGGAACAACAAGCCTTGATGGACTCCTTGCTGCAGAGCTGGACTGACCTTTCCTCTGCAGCTGCCCCACAGGTAAGACCTCCCAGCCCTGGAGCTTGGTGACAAGACCCCTGAGCAGACCCAAAGGCCTTTGCTTATGTCTTTCAGAGCCAGGCCTGAGGTGTTAGTCATGCCAGAAGTAACTGATGGTGTCGTTTGGCGTGTCCTGCTGTATGCTTCTCTGCATGGTCCATGGCAGCTATATTATCTGGTTTTCCAACCACCTCCCCTATTCTTCTGGATAAATATAACCATGATAGTGTTTTGGCATGGCACCTGTGTAACTGCTGTGCAAATACAGCCCGTGCTCCAACTAGACTACTCTGAGCAGGAACAGCCTGTCTTCCAGAGTCCTGCCATCAGGAAGACATAACAGGGAATGGGGAGGATGGAAAGAAAAGCTGCATATTAGCCAAAGTGGGTGTTGTGAACTGAATGTAATGCCAACTTCTCAGCTAGTTTGTATGAGTGAGGGACACTTTCGCTTCATATAACTCCTGGCTTGTGAAAATCTTTCTGCAGACAGATGGAAGGACTTCTGGAATTGCATTATCCCAATTTGGGCATCTCTAAGTCAAGAATAAAAGATTAACTTTCTCCTGGGATCCGATTAGTGGGAGCAAGGGGATCAGTCAAGCACTTTCCACTCTCCTTGTTACATCGAAAAGCTTAATTCAAAAGGGGGCCTTGTGGCCCAGACTAGGTTGAGTAGTTCAGCCCATCATCATATAAGTGTGTATGCCCTGTAGCTGTTCCAAATACTAACAACATAAATGGCTGCAAAAGCTTGATGAAGTTACAGTTTAAATGTTCAATGATTTGAAAGCTCTTAATTAAGGTGCCACACCACCTTATTAAATAAGGCTTGAACTATAATTTTCAACCGTGATAAATTCACTAAAGCCTGACTAAGGGATGTGTAGGCCTATTTCACCATATCAACTAAATGTCTGGCTCCTGGTTTACAATTCTAATTCTATCAAAATATCAAGATTATATCTTGACACTGGTTTATCCCCCCACTCTGGAAAAGGCTAACTCCATTTGAAGTTTCAGGAGCCCTCTTTGGAGATTCTTCAGGCAGTTGCACAAAACTCTATAGCCCAACACACTCAGCTGCTCAGAAAGCGACTTATTCTACTGCCAAGATTTAATCAATAGGTTAATTTCCGAAGTTACTGGTAAAATTAGTAAACTAACTTAATTTATTTAGTTTCCCCACCATTCTTGGTTTTACTAATGTTTTAATAGTTGCAGAAAGAATAAGAGGTGGTTCAGACAGGAAGCTGGTCTTTGTCCCTTTCCCTGACGCACTGAAGTTGCAGGCTGAATTAACAAGACACTCCAAGAAAGCGAGTGAGAGCCCATGTCTTCTCACGCGTCTGTACAGTACTTAGAAGAACAGTGCAGAAATGCTGCTTGTCGTTCTACATTTATGGTTGTGTCTATCCCAACAGAGGCATCAAGATTCTTTGTCAGTACCGGGAAGCACAGACACTCATGTGGTGGGAGCTTAGAAATCTGATGTCTACCCATAGCTCCCAGCTCAAAATAGCCAACACTGCCAGTAGGACCCAACACTGCCGCAAGAGCCACAGACGGCTGCGCACAAAGAATCCCCTACTGTTGGCCAGAAGGAGCGAGGAACTGAAGGACAGCTAGACCGGCCTTCTAGCATTTTGTGATGCCTCTGTAAGTCACCTCACTGGTAGGGAATAACAAGGCACAGAGCAACTTGAACACAGGAGAAATCTTTGTCATAGCTGTCTTTGTTCTTCATTATTTGTTTCTAGTCCCATTAGCTTAGTAATTTTGCTTAAGGAGTCACAATTACAGAAAAGACTGGTTTCAGGACAGCTGCTGCGGGAAAAAAAGTTCAGAGAACCATTAAAGAAGATACAAGGAGGTGCACAAATAAGTCTAGAAGCAATATCATGTTTACATCTTCTAAGCCTTATTGCTATCAGATCATACATACACAGCCCTTATTACCCATATTATAGCCTTACGCTGCTTGTGGACTAAGTATTATGAGATGGTATCAGCAAAATATTGCTTAAAGATTGTGCACTGAAGGGGAATATGCAACAGTAGGTGCTAAATAATGAACAAAAAGGGAAAGTACCTGCCTTTGCCTATTCAGAGCATCCATTTTATGTAGCAAACATATATTTAACATAGTAGATACTTGTGTGCTTAAGTAAACAAAGCTGACAAGAATATAAACTTGCAATGACTTAGTCTGCGATCACATTTGCATGATTTACACAACTACTAACAGTGATTCAGGCTTGTGGCTTTTGACCTGAGAGAATTAGACTAATTTACCTTTGCAATACAGGAACATGAACAACATTCTTGAGGTGATACGCTGACATAATTTCATTATTGACAACTTTCTTCATGTGTTGCTCTGTGTAGATGTGCAGAATCCAAAGATTTGTTACACCATATTTATGCATTTTCAATATCAAAAGTGTAATCTGCATCATTCATGACTTATGTGACCACTTTCAAAAAGTAAAAATGACAAAAACCACACAGTAATGCAAAAATACATTCTACAGAGTCTAATTGAAATAAACCTTTATTTTTTTTCTCATTTAGCTTAATCAGAAGCTCAGGAAGCTCAATAAGTTAATCTAAAGCCTTGTTTATAACTATGCTGGCCTTTTTCACAGTGCCTGGGTACAG